ACAATTGGAGAAATCTCTACAAACTGTAGAATGGGGCTCACAGTGTTCACTTATCACACAGAATGAAATACTATTGTGATCGCTACTACCCACAGGCGGCTCAATCTTGATATTGTTCACCAAGGCTTCATCATTGGCTAAAACTAAATCCAAAATGCTTTCCCCTCTAGTTGGCTCCAATACAAACTGCTTGAAATTATGAACTAAAAGATTATCCATGAAAGATGAACCAGTTTCTCCACCTGATAACGCTACATATGACCAATCAATATCCGGGAGGTTGAAATCTCCCGTAACCACTGACGGGTGCTCACATATAGAAAGATCACCAATGATATTGCAGAGTTTCTCACTAAGCAACAACGAACACGTAGGAGCTCTGTAAACCACAATGAACCTTATCTTAGAACTTTCAAAATAGATATCAACGGCTAAAATTTCATATGCCTCGCGAACCGAGTCAGAAAAGATCTCGATATAATTGAAATTGTTTCGTATTAATAATAGCACACCACCACCCTGACGTTTGCACCAATCACATCGCACAGAGCAGTAATTATCAACCGAAATGAGAGAACAGAGCGTGTGAGATGTATTGAGCCACGTTCCACAAAACATGAGCAAGTCATAATTACTACATAGTGAAAAATCTACATAACTCGAGTTTTTTGGGAGGGACCTTACATTGGAAAAGAAGCAAGAAATACTATCATTAAGTATCCTAGAAGGAGCCACTAGTTTAAAGACTGGGTAGAACGAGGTTGCAAATGAGAGAAAGAATTCGATGTGATTTCATTCCGATTTGAACGAGTAAACTGTGCTAGTGAACTGTCTTAAGGAAAAGAACCAATCCTAGAATGCCGATGCTTAGCTCTCTCTTCTTCAGTGAGAGATGCCCTAATAAAAACTCCTTTGATATGGAAGAATCTCAAACGTGAAGTATTCCGTAACAATTGCACTTGAAATTTCCTCTCAGGTAAAACTACTTTCAATAAGCGAGGTGATTTCTTACTGGTATTACAAGTCTGTAAATAGAAAGAGGTGAACATTCGATACCTAGAAACTCTAAAATCATACTGACACAATGAGTATCGTGCTGAAACCTTATCATTAGAATAGAATGATTAGAATCTGGTCTTTCTGCTACTCCAGCGATGATAACTGGTCTCATCCTTTCATATTCTACGGGAGAAGTTTGAACCGGTTGTACAAAGTCAGAAGATGTTTTTCTTGGTGGAGAACTCTCACAAGACTCATTAGCCATATTGGCTCTCAGAGAGGTGATCTCCTTCTTGAGGGAGGAGTTCTCATCCTCAAGCTGTTTTTCACGATTTCTTAACCTTTCCAGCTCACAGTCCTTTCTTCGTGAGTTGTCGAGCAGATAAACCAAAATCCGTTTAACGTGGGTTGGGACAGAGTTCTCTTGATTAAGC